GCCGAGTGTGAAGCAGCTAGGATGGGAGTCAGTTCTTTTAAGTCTGAGGTTCTCAACTGGAAGAGGGTGGAGGAAGGTAGGAGTTTAAGTATCTGGGTGTCCAGGTAGGACGAAGCAGGAGATGGATCGACAGATTGGGGCCCTTGTCCTCTGTAATGAGGGAGCTGCTCCAGTCAGTCGACAGGCAAAGCTCTCAATTTACTGATCTGTCTAGTCATGAGGCGTGGATCATGACTGACAGACTGAGATCCCGGGTACAAGCGACCGAAATGAGCTTCCTTCGTAGGGTAGCCGGGCTCAGCCTTAGAGACAGGGTGAGGAGCTCCGTCATCTAGAAGAGCTCAGAGCAGAGCTGCTGCTCCTCCTCATCAAAAGGAGTCAGTTGAGGTGGTTCTGGCATCTGAATAGGATGCCTCCTTTTTGCAATGTTCTGGACTCGGAAGACCAGGACTCACTGGAGGGATTATGTTTCCTCTCTGGCCTGGAAAGTCTTGGACGTTTTCACATTTAACCGCCACTAAAACACCAAAATGTTAGATTAAACCACTATCAAGATTATAATCTTTGAGTAATCCTGTAAAACCAGCCTCTTATGAGTTGAGATGTGTGAAGCCTGTTGTCTACGTGTGTCTGCTGTTGATAAGGGTCAGGCATGTTTTAGTCTACAAACAGATCTGTCCACGGCGGCCTCATGTGATCAGCGAGCATGTGAATCTCCAGCGTACGGTGGTTTTGAGCTCGTTGTTTGCAGCAGCAGGTGAGATCTGATCTCACAGTTCATGGTCTGTCAGAGCTGTTTGTGTAAATAAGCGGCGTTCCACGTCCTCTACGTTCACCTCCATCAGGATAAAACGAGCTGCAGGTCGGACTCTGGTATGTAAAAAAAAATCCTCAGAGATGAAGAGAGATAGAGACAAACAGGGGAATAAAAGAATAGATTATTTTTACTCTTGTTGTTTGTTGCTGTGATGATTTACAGTCAGGGAGGCCATCTATCTCTGGATGTGTTGTTGTGGGGTGTCAGGGGAAAACACAGCCAGAGGATTGTCAGGCTTGCAGGGAATTAAAATCTCAAAACCACAACACAGCTTTGTTTTCAGGCTTGATTTATGTGTATAACGGATATTAATTAAAGGCCTCTTTGTTTGTTATGAATTCTCTGTCTCGTTTTGGGAGAAGAGCCCATGTAGTTTGGCTGGATTGTTTTTGCTGAGGGCTGGGGTCAGGGAGATGGAAAATAGTTGTTCTGCAGGGTTAGGTAAATGAAAAAAGGTTATGAGAGACACGAAGAGCTCTTGAAGTGAAATATGGGAAAATTTGGGRTGCCACTAATGTGCAAATATGCCCTCTGTAAGAAGAAGTTCTGCTTGGTTAAAAATAGTGAGCTTCTTTTTGTTCTCCACTCCTTGTTTATCTGTTTCTGATTCCTTGACAGATAAGTGGAAACAGGCTCCGGTTTTGCCTTCTTTTTTCCCTCTCTCCCGTCTTCCTCTCCATGATTTAAGCCCACTCACCCCCTCTTTTCTCCTCTCTGGTGAAAGGTTTGAAGTGTCAGTCATGTACTCGCTGCAGATGACTGTATTTATCACTGTTTACGCAGAAATCAGAGCAGCAGAAAGAAGAATGAAAACATCCACCACCGCAGCATGCTAATGCTACAGTTCAGATCACACACAGTGGCATCGCACCAACCGAGTGTCTGCTTAATATTCACACATGCATTCTCATTACTCAAACCAGAAGCTCATGTTTATTATCTTTTTCCTGTCAGCGGTGAGGCAGTGTGATCGCAGCCCGTGTGGGCGAGGAGCGACGTGTCAGGAGGCTGCAGGAGGTTTCCGGTGTCTCTGTCCACCTGGATGGACCGGCAGGACGTGCCAGCTGGGTCAGTGGGTCACATTTACACTGGATTGAATCTGTTATACAGCATTTGTAAAGATTTACTGCCTTGAATTATGAGGCCTGTTGTTTTTTACCCTGACTACCCTGTTTATAAATTACAAATAATTAAAGTACATAAAGTGTCTAAATCATTACAGAAAGACACTAAAGGATTTGTTTTTTTTCTGCAAAAATGCTGAGTGCTGAATGAACTTAGCTGAAGAATGCCGAAAGAAACAAAATGCTAGCTAAAAGCTAAAAGTAGCAGAAAAAAYAACAAGATATAATATAAATGTAGCATAAAGGTAACTTTAAACAAGCATTGCAAAATGCTAGTTAGGAAAAAAAAAAGCAAAATATGACCTAAAAAATAAATGTAGCAAAAGGCAAGTTCAAAGATTAGATTAACAAACCCAAATAAAGCTAATGTAGCAAGGAGCTCAATCTCAACAAAACTAATAGTAGCAAAATGCTATGTAAGGAATAAAATATCAAAACAAACGAAATTAAAACTAAAAGCTAAATGCTGTAAAAGGCTTGCTTTAAAAAAATAAAGGAAAATACTAGCCAAAAGCTAAAGTTAGTAGATCAATACCTAAAAATAGCAAAACACAAACTAGAAGTTAAATATAGTAAAATGCTGGGTAGAAGATAAAAGTAGCAAAAAGATTATTTTAAACAAACTTAACAAAGTGCTAGAAAATAAAACATCAAAACACAACCKAAGAACTAAATAAAACAGTATTAACAAAACCCTTAAAAAGTTGAATGCAGCAAAGAGCTATGGCTRAATAAAAAAGTGGCAAAATGCTACCTAAAGGATAAATATAGCAAAAATCAATCTAAATGTAGCTAAAACCAAATTAAAAGTTAAATGTTACAAAATGCAAGCTAAAAGAAGAAATAGCGAATCAATACCTAAAAACAGATAAATGCTAAAACACGCTAGTTATTAGATAAATGTAGCAAATGACTGCTTTTTCCCAATTTTATTCATTTTAAAACAAAATAAATTCTATATACAATAAAAAATACAAATCAAACTGAAAGGCAGCAGAAATAAGAAAAAATCTTATATCTGCCCCTTTTTTCAGCTTTAAACCAAAATGCTAGTTAGAAAAAAAAACAGCAAAACGCGACTCCATAGATAAATAAAATACTAGCGAAAYGATAAAATTGGCAAAAGACAAATTAAAAGCTAACTGTTGCTAAAAGAGCTTAATCTAGCAAAACAGTATAAAAACTAAGTGTTGCCAAAAGGCTAGCTAAAATAAAAAATATGAAAATGCAAACTAAAATGAGCTAAAAGTTCTTTTATGGCAGCAGGAACAGTAGCTAACAGAACAAAGGATCAGAGCACAAACATTGCACGCAAAGAGAAGGCAAAAGAAATTAATCCCAACTAAACTAYAGAGGTTTAAAATACCACGTGAGAACAGTCGAAGAAAAGAAACAAAATTTAAATCAGGGACAAAACTACTGAGAGGCAGAGAAGCAAGACGTTTGGGCTCCAAGACAATTTGCCAGAAAACCAGAGAATTTGTAACTGGAGTAATGACTAACTGAACACAGAGACTGAGGCAAATAAAAAACAGAATGTAAAACCCACACAAGGCCACAAGCACAAAGCTTTCTGTTTTAAACAGTGATTAGTTTTTATCAAGAGGAGTGCAGAGCTTATAGTTTTTCTGCAAAAATAGATGTTTAAAAAATAGTTTTTTAAACTGACACTCTGGAGGATGTGCTGCTGTTTGTTTAAAATAATCCTCCAGAAGGAAAAGTTGTCTTCTCCTAATGAAACACCTAAAATGTGCGACTGTTTGACAAGCTTGTGTAAAACTTCTCATCATAAGAAACGGCACTCAGTTCATAAAAACTGCAACAAACTGCCCTTTGGTGCTTGAATAAATTTTGTTTTTATTTTATTTTTTCAATCAAATGGATGTTCAGATTGAAGCGAAATAAAAATTAAATGTGCAAATTAAAGTGTTGGACGAAGGCAACAGCATGATAATTCTCACATCAACCCTTGATGACTCTGAATTAGTCGTCTATAAATGCACCGTCATGTTCCCTTCGGGCTGCATTCGCTTATATTGACAGGTGAGCTTTCCGAGGCCTGTTGGGGTTCAGGATCACACAGGAGGAGCTGAGTCTCACACATTATATACACTTACACAAGCTGCAGGGTTATGAAGTGAAAACTGACACATATTTCAGGGTGACAGCTTCTCCTACTCCTCTGAGTTACGGCGATGTGTCATCCTGACACTTTATAATCCCTCACGGTTCCACATGGCAGATCAGACGCTCTCGATGTAACCCTCTCGACTGAAAGTAGAAAACTTTTTATMACCTGAGCTGACAGGAAGACACCAGATTATTCATTCAATGTAAACAATTATTGTGCTTTTACACCTTTTCCTCAATGTTTTCTGTCGGCTTCATGATTCAGTCGCTGTAATTCTCATCATCAGTGGATGGCTTGTTTACCTGTTTCTCAATTATTTTTTTAGTCAAGTGCTTTATATTCTCCCTCAGAGCACTTTAAGAGGCTTTTAGCTTTTACAATAAAAGGATGAGCGCACACACATTTTTACAGAAGCAGCGTGAGTAAAAACTAATCCTGTAAGGCTTTAAATCTACAGTCTGTTCTTAAGGAGATTTTAAGAAATGTGTTGTTAATAAAAATTGCTGTTCTTGACACGTAAAAACTTAACAAATTGTCTGTGCATTACATTTTTGACTTAAACAAAATGAATTTGATGACAATAGAGTAAAAGTGAAAAAGCTTTAATGCGTGTCAATAAATTAATATTTTTTTATCAGTTTCTATGTTTTGCACAATGTATGGGTTGAAATGATCAATGTGACGTTGTGGCAAAATAACATGTAGACGTTCGTGTGACAATATATATATACATATTTTTTAATTTATAAAAACTAACTTTTACAGTCTCGTTTTTATACTTGAAGTAATCATTCATCAAATAATGTCAAATGTTACAACTAGTCAGAGTTCCCTTTAGTCTCATTGTTTGAGTGCGTTCACACACAGAGCTATTAAAAACCAGTTTGTTTTTTAAAGTTTGGAGCACTTGTGAGTAGACAGTATCTTACCTGCAGCAGACAGCGATSAGAACGACGACAGTTTGGAGAATCTGAGAGAAGAGTCAAGTTCCTAAATGTGTAATTTTAAAAGGAAGRCTCRACCAAACATGGGTGATTTCAGTTTRTTGGCTTGTTTACAATCCAACCTTCAGGTCATGAGATCTGAATTATGGCTCAGGGTTGGAGATAAGACGAGCAGCGTCGTCGTCCAGAGTTGGTTATTTATGCTGAACACTGTCTGTGTTGCGGTTTGCAACACAACCRGTCTGTAGCCTAATCTGCTGGTTAAACTGCTGCAACATTTTAAGTTTGACTTATTTTGGATAAAATCAAATTCACCCCTGAACGGGCATGTTTATGATTAGCTGTTAGCTTGACCACCTGTGAAAATTTCTTTCTGATTCTCTGAATTGAAATCACTCTGACTGCTGTCTGCTGGAGGTAAGAGACTGACCAGGAGGGGAAATAAACATTTTCTCCACAGCTGGAACACAACATTACTGGCTGCTTTCATCTAATCACAATTGTCAGTTATTTTCCATTTTTTTGTTATCTGCCAMCAGAAATGTAACACCACATTTCTGAAGTTACTGATCTCCTTCTGATAACAGCATTAAGAGCAGGCTGGCAGCAACTCAGGTGCAGCGTTGCTCCAGACAGTTCAGGAGTACAAAGWGTGTTGTTCAAATCTACACACCACTTCACACATTTACCTGCATTTGGCGAGAGGTGCTTATTTCCACCTCAGATACTGACTACTCATAGCTACTCCACACAACCCCTGAACAATTTGAGACATTAAGATTCAGTTTTTTGTTTATTTTATTAATTTTTTTATTTAAATTTTTTTTCACTCAATATATATATATATATATATA